TTTCCCTCCTTGGTGGGCTGGCCCATCTGCTTCCCACAGGGATTCTTCCCTTTTTATAACCAGCCTGGGCTTCTGCAAGGACTGGGTCTCTGTCCTTCCCCCTTTTTCCCAGTTACTTATCTCTCTCAGGCAAAAGGCTTGATCTCTCTCTTCAGAGCTTGTTTCACTCTCTGCAGCTCTTGAGAGTCTAGCATGCTGGGCTGTTCCTCCAGGTTCCTCCCCCTCTCTGCTGCCTCCAGTCAGGTTTCTTCCTGGGAATGCTGAACTTCCATCAGCATCCTCTCTTTAAACTGCCCTCCACCTGCTGCCGGCCAGTCAGGGCTGGTTCGCCAGAGCACAGGTTCCTGTGCTTCTGGGATTGCTGGCAGCTGTGCTTTCCTGGCTGTCAGAGCCATGCTGTGTGTCTGGACCCAAACAGGTGAATTCCCCTGCATGCTGGGATGTTTCTGTGGGAGTGTGGCAGGGGCTAGGACCCTGTCCTTGCCACGGGGCTTTATATTACTGATGGGTCTTGGATCCGACGGTGACTGAATGGTCTATCTGATTCTACTTTCTGCCTATCCTTAGAATCATATAATCATAGAAAATGAGGGTTTGAAGGGGCCTCAGGAGGTCATCCAGTCCAAGCCCCTGCTCAGAGCAGAAGCATCCTCCCCGCTTAGAACAACCCAGCCAAAGCTTTGTCTGGCCAGGTCTTGAAAACTTTCAAGGATGGAGATTCCACCACCTCTCTGGGTAACTTGTTCCAGTGTTGTTATTACCCTCCTAGTAAGAAAATTCTTCCTAATATCTGCTGCAACTTGAGACTGTTGTTACTTGTTCTGTCATCTGTCACCACTGAGAACAGTCTAGTTCCATCCTCTTTTGAACCTCTCATCAGGTAGTTAAAGGCTGCTATTAAATTCCCTCTCTCTTTTCCTCCCCAAACTAAATAAGTCCAGTTCCCTCAGCCTCTCCTCATAAATCATGTGCACCAGCCCCCCATCCATTTTTATTTTCCTTTGTTGGACTCTCTCCAAATTGCCCACATCCCTTCTGTAGTGCGGGGCTGAAAACTGAACACAGTATTCCAGATGTGTCCTGAATAGAAGGGAATAATCACTTCCCTTGACCTGCTGGCAACACTCCTACCAATGCAGCCCAGTATGCCATTAGCCTTCTTGGCAACAAGGACATACTGCTGGCTCATATTCAGCTTATTGTCCACTGTAACCAAGGTCCATTTCTGCAGAGATGCTGCCCAGCCAGTCACCCCCAGCTTGTACTGGTGAATGGGATAGTTTAATTCTAAGTGCAGGAATTTGAACTTTTCCTTGTTAAACCTCATGAGATTTCTTTTGGCCCAGTCCTCCAATGTGTGTAGGTCACTCTGAATCCTAGCCCTGCCTTTTTGTGTATCTACTCCTCCTAGCTTGGTGTCATCTGCAAACTAATTGAGGGTGCATTCTATGCAGAGCTGACCTGAGCAGGGTGTGGGGCCTGGAACAAATCAGCTCATGTGGGGCCTGGCCCCTGCTCTGATCCCACGGGCCGTGGATCTGAAGAAGCTGCTCTGCCATCGGTGGCAGCAGCATCGATGTGGGAGGGGTAGTGAGTTCCGTGTTGCTGCTGCTCTGCCCAGCTCCATGGGGCCCCCCAAAGCGCGGGGCCCAGGGCGGTCACCCCGATTTCCCCCCCCAGGATGGCCCTGCTTCTATGCCATCTTTCAGGTCATTGAAGACATTGAACCAAACCGGCCCCAGAACCAACCCCTGGGGCACTCCATTTGATACTGGCTGCCAACTAGACATTGAGCCATTGATTACTACCCCCTGAGCCCGATGCTCCAGCCAATTTTCTATCCACCTTATGCTCCATTCATTTAGTCTGTACTTCCTTGGCTTGCATGCATGAATGTTGTGAGAAACCATATCAAAAGCCTTGCTAAAATCAACTACCACATCCACTGGTCTTCCTGCATGCACAAAACTAGTCATCTCATCATAGAAGGCAATCAGGTTGGTCAGGCATGACTTGCCTCTAGTGAATCCATGCTGACTGTCCCTAATTGTGACAGGGGCATGTTCAGGGCTGGGTCTCAACCTTGGTCTGCCACCTATCTATATAGGGCAATCTGCCCAGTCTCACCTGCCATGACTTTGCTGCAATAATAAACTGGTGGTAAATGCGGGTGGCTGCCCATTTTTATACCCCGATGCCATGGGCCGCTATCTATGGCTCCGTACCTTCCTTACACTGTAGCCCATGCGTTGCAGATAACATCCAAACAAGTTCTTACACTTTGACCTAAATTTGGCCTTAGCATCTGAGGACTTACTGGGGCCTCCGTCTGACCCAATCACGCAGCCTTGACATGCCTGAGGAGTTACTGGGGTTGTGACTTGCCCTGACTTCTTGGCTGAGCCACACACTCAGCCTTTGGCCAGTTGCAGCCTCAGGCATCCATAGACTAACCTTGGCCTGTCCACCCCACTGAGGCTTCAACTTGTGCCCTTTGGCTAGGGCCTTTCAACTGTGTCCTCTCACTAGGGCCTTTAACTATATCACTGATGTTCTTACTCATGTGTGGGTTGGTCTATGTGCTGTTCTTCAGGCCATCTCCTCAGCCCTGTTCAGCACCTAGATTATAAACAGCCCTTTGGGTCAGAAAGACACCCCCTACTCTGGGCGATCCACCTTGGCTCTCATGCCCTCTCCCTAGGGCTACAGTACTGCCCCCTCTCTGAGACCACACAACTTCCCCCCTCACACTGAGGCTTCTGGGGTCTTGCACCTCTGTGGGGCTCAGGTGGCTGCAGCTATGCCTGGCCCCCAGTCCTTCACCAGGGTCTTACCCCCCAACCCTCAGGGCTCAGGTAGCCACAGCTGTGTCTGGCCCTCTTACCCACAGTATTGTGGGAGCTGGGGTTATTAAGGCTCCCCTACCCACCTTTTACTGGGGGTGGTGAGCAGTCCTGGTATTTGGATGGCACTGCCTCACTACAGGCAGTCCCACCAGGCCTCCCTACCCCAGCAGGGTACAGTTTCAGGTCATGCCCAGAACCAGGAGCCTCCAACCATCCCCATAGCTCCTGCCCTTTCCTTCAAGTTGTTCCTGAGCAGCAGCTCAGCTGGATGTTATCTCCTTGGCTGCTTGCAGCAGACAGCTGCTTCTGCCTGATTTGCCTTTTCCGCATCCTCTGTCACGGGGTTGCCTCCCCTGTTCAGTAAGGGACCCACACTTTCCCTGATCCTCCTTTTGCTACTGACATACTTGCAGAAACCCTTCTTATTACCCTTCACACCCCTTGCTAGCTGCAACTCCAGTTGCACTTTGGCCTTCCTGAATTCATCTCTGCATGCCTGAGCAATGCTGTTATACTTGTCCCTATTTATTTGCCCAAGTTTCCATTTCTTATAAGCTTCCTTGTTGTGGTTTAGTTTACTGATGAGTTCCCTGCTAGGCCAAGCTGATCTTCTGCTATACTTACTAGTCTTAACCTCCTTTCCTATCCCTTTTCAGCAACGTCTTTCACAAAAGTCTGCTACAGAGAGTTTCTGGCAGTGAGGGCCATAGAGAGAGTTCCATTGCATCTCAGTGGAAAGGCGTTTTACAGCGGTTACTTTTTGGACCCAACAGAAATGTGGGGTTGGGAAGCACACTTGGACCTTGGAAAACTTAACCTGTTCATTTGCAAGCTCAAATTTAAGATGGTCATTCTAGTGGCATTAATGCCCTATCTATATTATGGAGACTGGTTTTTATCTTTCAACCTACAAGATGCTTGCCTCTACCGTCTCAATAAGCTTGTATTTGAAGGGGTTCTTACATTTTCATAAAAGGTATATTAGATCCAAGTCCTTACAATAGATCCACTCTATGCCATTTTTACCCAGATAGAGTAACTCTGAAAATTCTTAAGTTTCTGCCCAAAATAATTGTGGAGTATTATTAAGCTTGGTACTTAAACTTGACAGTTAGTAAAGTTAACTGACTTTACTAATTAATTAACTTTAGTTAAAGTTAGTAGTTTAACTTGCCAAAGTTAAAAGTAGTTAAACTTACATTAGTTAAACGTACAGTACTTGTAGTAGTTAAACTTACCAGTTTAACTTGCCATAACCTCATTCCTCATGAGTAGGAGCTTTCTTGCATTCACTGGATTGGAAAAGGGCACAATCCTGTTGCTTTTGTAGAATAAAACTTCAGAAAATCTTCTTACTTCTTTGTATCATTACCTAAGAGATTTAAAGATGAAACACTATCCGCCCAGAAGTTATTGATCTGGATCTTGGGCTGTATAAAGCTATGCTATGAGGCTGCTAGGACTTACAATCAGTGATAATGGCACATTTAACTAGAGCCCAAACTACTTCCATACCATCCTTACATAACATTTTCATAAATAACATTTGCAGTGCAGCTACCCTTTATTCAGTCATTGTATCAAGCTGAAATGTCAGAATGTATCTTCCTCATGTGTCTGGTGCAGTAGAAGGGCTCAGCCTTAAATCCTCTTTTATTCAGTCTGTTCACTCTCCATTAAGCAGGGCCATCAGTAATTCTATAGTGCTAACCTTTAAAAAGGACCTTTCCTCAAAGTATATACTATACATCCAATTAACAAATCATGTAGCAAGTGATACAGAGCTATAAATACTGTAACTTAGTTCTGGCTGCTGTTGTACAGGTTCTCCAAATAAACTATAAAGAAATAGGCTGGAAAATGGATTAAACATTTTTTGCTGAAGGCAATTCCATTTGTAATTTATCTTATACTTTGTTATTGCAGTCTTGTGGGAACATTTACAAAGGCCTTTCCCAGACCGGTGCTTGGGGCTGTTTTGATGAGTTTAATAGAATCTCAGTCGAGGTACTTTCAGTAGTAGCTGTACAGGTAAGTGGAAAAATACTTGTAAATAAAATGCCTCAGTCATATTCTGCTCTTTGGAATGACTATAAATAGGGAAACAAAACTCTTGGGATAGGTAGAGGCAATATCTTTTATTAGACCAGCTAGATAGTTGCAAAAAAAATAATAATCTTTATTTCAAAGCTTTCAGGCCCAAGTGCCCAAAAGGAGAACTCAAAGGCAAAGGAAAATTCAAAGATTGTAAAATTTCTCCCAGGTGGAAACAAAACTTCATATTGCACAGGAGAACTTAAAGATGGCATAGTTCTCCTGATTAAGGAAGTACATTTGTAAAAAAGCTGCTTGTGAGTCTGCCAATTAGGCTTAAACAAGGGCTGGAGTAGGCCGTTTACCTCAAGTGTCCGATGGTATGCAGGTTGCTGAATTTTGCTTCTTCCTTCTTAGGTTGGGGAGCCTTTGTTTGAGCCTAATTTGTGTACTCACAGAGCAGATTTAAAAAAAATGACCTTTCCTATCCAAGAGAACCATGCCATCTTTTAGTTCTTCTGCGCAATATGAAGTTTCATTTCTACCTGGGAGAAATGTTACCATCTTTAAATTCTCCTTTGCCTGATGAAGGGCATTTGGGCCTGAAAGCTTGCAAATTAAGATTTTTTTTTTTTTTGCAACTATCTCATTGGCCTAATAAACAATAATGCCTCTGCCCCAAGAGTCTTGTCTGCCTATGCCTGTAGACAAACATGGTTACAACCAATATCCCTATAAATAGGGAAAGTATATGTCTTTGGTTTCGGGGTTACAGTATCTGTGCATTGAGAGAACTTCAGCTCAACACTGATTTATTTTTCATGGCTCTGATATTAATTTAATACCTCAGTAATTTAGAACATTATATTCCCTCCCCTGCACTTCAGTCTAACATACTGCTGGGTAACTGGAGCCTCCTGCCCTGGGGTGGACTCCCCACTACTTTCCTGCCATGTCTTGATTGTCAGAAGTTAATGATAGAAAGGGAGGTTCGTCCAGAAATAGGATGATTCTCCAGACTCAGGTTGACTTAGTACTGAGGCAGGTGACTTGGAGCTCTGCCTCCCCTACACCCCATCCACTCACCAACAGGGTCTAGTTGCAGCTACTGTGATGTAGAAGGCTGCCACACAAAATGTCCTCACTCATTTTCACAACTGCCTGAAAGACAGTGCTTACATCTGAACAGTTCAAAAGTCCATACTGCCTAGTTGCCACCCTAGGTGTCCTGTCACTAAACTATTATCCTTGGTAGTGCTGGGAGCAGCCATGTGGGGCCTTCCCACACTGGTTCTCAAATTCAAATTAAATCAAGGCTACTTGGCCCTTATCTCTGGGCCTTAGTGAGCCATACCAGGACTCTCCCATGTCAGCTCCTCCTTTTATCAAAACAAAAATAAAGGAAGCCCCAGAGTGGTTCAGGTGTGGTGCTGCATGGGGGAAAGGACTTGGGCACCCAGCGTCTGGGCTCAGTCCCGAGGCAGGTCCTACCGCTCAGGTGAACACCTCACGATTCCTGCCTTCAGGAGCAGGAACCCCTCTGGGTTCCTTCTGGTCTGGCTCAACAGCAGATCTTCGGTGTCCCTGTCAGGCCCTGCCAAATCAGTAGGGGAGCGCCGTGCTGCTAGTGCTCACACCTTGGCAGCTGCCGCTGCACGTCAAAGCTCCAGATGCCTTTTTATGATGTCAGCCTCAGCGTGCCCTCCCACACACAGGGAGAGTGTGTTTTTAAAACGGTGCAATGGAAACACACACGCCTCCATTTCTGGGTGGCTGGCTGCAGGCAGGTAGAGCCAACCCTTAGCCCTTTCCGGGGCAAGATGCCCCATCAACAAGGGGCTGTTGGGGGGGAATCTACCCTGATCCCAGGGCACCTGGGAGCCTTGTTGCCCCACAGAGAGACACTGATCATGAAAATTTGTAGTATTACTATCTTCTGCAACAATTGTAGAGGTAATTTTAGAAGTTATGACTTAGTTAAAGTAATATAAACATTTGTTATATCCAGTAACTGTCTCTTGCCACACAGAGAAGATGGTAACAATTTTTTATGTGGGGGAAAGATGATCTATGGACTGATCCAAGATGCACTGGAATCAGAAGGATTTTTTTCTGCTGATTTTGAGCTTTGGATCAAGCACTATGGAAGTGTTGAACTTTACCAATAGTAATGCTTAGCATTATTCAGTATGCATCTAGTTGTACCAATATTTGTAATAACTTGTTATTTCAACATTTGTAATAAATTGTGAGAAGTATGTACAGAAGAAAAATATAGTAAAAAGTAAAATATTTTTAAATTAATAATGTACAACCCAATGAGTGCAATGCAAAACTACTCATACCATAAAACAAAGATTGACATTCCTCAATTTGGAGCCTTTATTTATTGATTGTATAGAATAATAGAAATGAGAGATAAGAAACAGCAATTAGACATGGCTAGATACTTTACGTGCTGGATGTTTTCTAGCTTCACACTCAAGTTTCACTGTTTGTGCATTTTATCCAATGACTGCTTCAGGTACAATAGAGAAATAATGTTTTGCATGAAATACTTCCCTTGGGAGTCTTACTTATCCTTGTTTGTACTTTCTTCTTGGCACAAGGCATCTTGAATTCTTTTATGCAAAGTGGAACACTTTCAACAGCTGGGGGTGAAAGTACTTTGTGCTTTCTTTTTGGAGCAGAATCTACCTTTGTGGTTGGAAATGGGTGCTGATGTCTGTTTTCATAAAATAATAGAAGAGTAGGACTGGAAGGGGACTCAAGAGGTTATCTAGTCTGACTCCCTGCTTAAGGCAAGATCATCCATGCCTAAGCCATCCTAGACAAGTGATTGCCTAACCTATTCTTAAAAAAATTGCAAATAACCCTCTCATGAAAGTACCAGGCAAAATACCGCAAACATAAAAAAATCTCCTAACTTGCCACAGGTAAAGCAGGTCATGCCTTGAAGGAAAGCAGTCCCTGTTGCTGCATTTTGGGAAGAGCCCAATCCCATGCTAGTGGTCTGAGAGTGCCTACTGGATCAGGAAGAAACTGTCTCCTCAGAGGAAACAGGTGAATGTATAGTTTATACATACTGATAAACACTTGCTTGAGTGTGTGTATAGTTTATACATACTGATACACACTTGCTTGAGTGTGAGACAGGTGCTGAACTTCTCAGCATTTATCTATATTAGGTTTCTATGCCACCCTTTTCAAAAAAAGGCTCAAGGCAGCTTACAATAAAAGAAGTAGTAACATATAAAAGAAGATAAATAAATACCTCAGCCAGGTCGTGAGTGGCTACAGGACTCTGGGAGCAAGACTCAGGGGGTTGGTGGTGCAGGTGTTTTTTTCCTCAATCCTTCTGGTTACAGGTCACAGGAAGAGGAGGGAGAGACGAATTGAGGCAGTAAACAGAAGATTGCGGCACTGGTGCCACTGTGAAGGCTTTGGCTTCTACGACCACAGTCTGCTTTTCAGAGAGAGAGGCAGTGGTCTGTTGGGAAGAGGCAGCCTCCACCTTACTCCACTGAGGAAGAAACTCTTCTTAACCAGAATGGCTGACTTGCTTGACCGGGCTTTAAGTTAAGCTCGTCGGGAGATGGGCGGACAACCACCAGAGCAAGCTGACCAAGCATCAACCAAACCAAATCAATCAAAACCAGCAGGTTAGGATGCTTAAGGGAACCCACTCCTACCCCAGCCCAGGAGCAGAGCTTCTCCATGAGTACAAGGAAGCCTAGGGCCTCCAACGACACTTACATGTCTGTACACTAATGGTAGGAGTTTGGGGAATAAACAGGAGGAACTGGTCCTTCTGCTAAACAAAAACAACTATGATTTCATAGGGATCACGGAGACCTGGTGGGACTCCTGCTGTGACTGGACTACTGGTATAAATGGCTATACCCTGTACAGGAGAGATCATGCTGAAGAAAGAGGTAGGGGGGTAGCTCTCTATGTGAAGGAGAGCTACACTTCCCTACAGGTTGAGGTTGGCACCCAAGGAAGATGACAGGGGACCCTTTGGGTTAGAATACGAGGTGAATGTATTGAAGGGGATACAATGGTAGGAGCCTGTGGGAGGAGACCTCCAAACCAGGAACAAGTGCTTGACCAAAATTCAGCAGGTTAACTGGCTGAGGCTGCACGCTCTTGGTGCATGGTCGTCATGGGAGACTTCAACTACCCAGACAACTCATGGAATGAGCACTTGGCCAAATCTGATTGGTCACAAAGCCTCCTTACATGCGTGAATGAGCTCTACCTGTCCCAAGAAGTTTATGGGCTGACAAGAGGCAAGGTGCTTTTGGACCTGGTACTGGCCAAAGGGGGTGATCTAATCAGTGACCTAAAAATCAAAGGGAAGCTGGGTGACAGTGACCATGACTTGATCACTTTCACTATCCATCTCATAGCTCATAAGTCAGCCAGCAATGCAGTAGTCCTTGACTTTAGGAAAGCTGACTTTCATAAGCTCAGAAGGCTTGTTTTTGAGGCCCTGAGAGGTCATGATTTCACAGGGAGGGGAGTTCATGATGAGTGGTTGTTCCTAAAGGAAGCAATCCTAGAAGCACAAGGGGAGTCCATCCCCATCCATAGGAAAGGTGGTAAAAGGGCTCAGCAACCCACTTGGCTCAACAGGGAACTGATGGACCTCCTACGTCTAAAAAGAGAAGTGTATAATGGATGGAGGACAGGAAATACCACTAAGGAGGAAAATGCTGCATTGGTCTGCACCTGCAAGGAGTGAACTAGACAAGCGGAGGCTGCAACTGAACTCCAACTGTCTACACAAATCAAGGACAATAAAGTCCTTCTTCAGAAAGTCCTTTCTTTCAATCAAAAGAAAAACAAGGGCAACATTGGACCCTTGCTAAACCACCTGGGGCAGCAGACTACTGAAGTCCAGGAAAAAGCCAATCTGCTTAATGATTACTTTGCATCGGTTTTTCACCAGCCCAAAGGGACCACCCTGCCTAACATGATGAGCCATGACTGGG